GGGTATAAAGTTGATCCCTTTGGAATTACGCTTACGATGATGTTTGATGGCGTTTTATATATCGTCATCACCCATGATGAGTCGATAAATATAACGCTCCAGTAATTCCCAATGAAACATCGATACTTTTTACAGTGATAAAAACGTATTCTTTTCTTTTTCAAGAAATGTTATTCAATAAAGTATTCAGCTCCAGTGATTTTTTTCATCAAAAACGGTGACACATCTGAGAAACCGGGACTATGAAATTACTCCACTACTAACATTCTTATTTTGATGTGACACAGTAAACGCCTTAACTGAATTTATCACAATCATAGAGGCAATAAATCCCAAAGTTTTTTACCCACTTTCAATGAACGTACGTCTAAATGTTAGTCGCCAGTCTCTATCAAAAGCGGAGGCGTAGCTTTGCTACGCTAACTATTAGGTGGGTATTGGCACGGAGGTGGGGGAGGGGGGGGGGGGGTTACACGTTTACTAAGTGGATGAAATAAGGATTATGAATCACATTAAATCGTTAGATGCATAACTAATGCTTTAATAATTTAGGGAGGGTATATCAACTAAAAGTTCTAAAGAAGTTTTCTAATGAGAAGATGTACACCGGTGAGAAAGCTTATAGACGATGCCCCAAATCCCATTTTGTTATGCTCCTCTCAAACCGAATGTTGCTGATTATAGACTATGGTTTGTGGTAATGATGAGCAACGAAAGACAGGTGCATGGTTAGCCCCCAGCCATAATCATGATTAGAGGTTTATGGTCCTACGGATGCCTCTCTTTACCCCCATTGTCTGTGAGGTGGGCTCTTTAGGGGTACGTAACCCGTTTTGCTTGCCCCCTCCAGGGATTTTAGCGAAGAGAAGGTGTTGACCTGCTCAATCTGCATAAAGATAATCGATATTTTAAATAAAGCGGCTCACTGTAGGCAGAACAGATATCTTGATATTAATACAGACAGCACAATCAGGATAATGTTTTATATATTCTATAGATCTTCAACTCGACACGGGGTTTAATCTCGATAGAAACTCGAGTTTCACAAAACGAAGTCTCATTTTTCTTATGCCTTTGCAGAAAATGATCTGATGATTTAGATTCAGCGGCAGGTCTTCCGGCATGCACCCACGCAGCCCAGATTACCATTATTTTGTTCAGTTGTTTGGTTCATGTTCAAGCATAATAGCAAACATTGCCCTATGTTATTTTGCGTTATTTTGTTTGTTGGTGAACTTTTACTTGCCTTCATATTTTGAAGAAATAAAAAGATACTATGCTAATTAAGACAATAAACAGCTTAAAAGCTAGCTGTCACACCACATCCAGACACAAAGTGGGAATTTGCAGCATTGGAGGGGCGATGTTGATACTTGGGAATAATTACGCAAATCAACACTTCGGAGAGGGTCATAGTAGAAAAGGTATTAGTAGTATCAGTGGCGGATCCAGGGGGGGGGGCCCCGGGGGCCCGGACCCCCCCCCCCCCCCTTGAGAAAAAAATCATGTAAAATCACGTGATTTTTACCTTTTTTGGGGGTTGGGCCCCCCCCCCCCTGGCGCTCAAGGGGGGGGGGTGCAAATTGAAATTTTTTTTGAGGATCAAAAAAAAAAAAAATGTGCTCACTACCCCCCCCCCCCCCCCCCCCCCCCCCCCCCCCCCCCCCCCCCCCACTGAGCGAATTTTTGGCCGGCGCGTTTTTCAAATTTTCGGGAGCAAAAAAAAAAAAAAAATTGTGCTCTGTACCCCCCCCCCCCCTCCCCCCCTCCCCCCCCCCCCCCCCCCCCCACTGAGCGACTTTCAGGCCGGCGCGATTTTCAAATTTTCGGGAGCAAAAAAAAAAAAAAATTTGGGCCCCCTCCCCTAAGAAATCCTGGATCCGCGCCTGAGTAGTATAGTAGTATTCAGGGGCGGCGATTTCTTTCCATGACCGGGGGATGAAATGCGAGATTTTAAAACAATATTTACTTGTTCATTTTAAAGGATATTATGCGAGGGAGCGTAGCGACCGAGCGAGAAGATTTTTGCATTTGTATTAGTCTAAATGCTACACTCTCGGGCCCTCCAGAGCCTAAAAGTGTGTTGCAGTCATTAGTCAGTATTTGCTATACATTTTTCCCCTCTCACTTTTACCAATTTCCCGGGAGGGGGACGTGTCCCTCCCCCCCCCGTCCCCCCGGTACCGCCACCCCTGGTAGTAGTAGTAGTAGTGAGTAGTTAAGCAGAATTAGTAGTAGTATATATTAGAAGTAGTAGTAGTTGGTGTAGTAGTAGTATAGTAGTAGTAGTAGTAGTAGTAGTAGTAGTAGTAGTAGTAGTAGTAGTATCAGCACCAGTATAATATTGGTAGTAGTAATATCCTAGTAGTAGTAGTAGTAGAAGTATAATAGTAGTAGACGAGTAGTAGTAGTAATGTTGTAGTAGTTGTAGTTGTTGTTGTTGTTCGTGTGTAAGCGTGCGTGTGTGCGTGTACGTATGTGTTCTATGTCCCCCTCCCCACCCTCTTTCTCCCTTTTTAATTGACATTTGTTCGGGAGCATTATGCATCCTGTGTCACTCACAACCCCACTGTCCTTCGATCCCCTTCCCTGCCGCTCACCAGTACCTTTCTACAGATAGAAACAATTTTCAATCATTTCCCTTTTTTCCATCGGAAGAATATACCCCCTCACTTTCTTCCCTCACAATAATAACAGTCCCGTTTATCTAAGTTTCTTTCGTTTCCTTACCTAACATGATTATAGGCCTCATGTTATGTTCCATTAGTGCATTAGTGTCCCAGTTGCGGTCATGGAAGTCTCGAATACTGATAGAATTTTCCTACAGAGGCAACAACTCTGTGGTTTTTTTAGGGGGTAAAGTTTCGGAACAGTATGTCAATCGTTTTGCCTTCTCGGGATTATTCCCTCTGTCGCTGACATTAAAGCGCTTTAATAATGTAAGTGGGTCACGACTTGTATCCGGTTCGTCGCTAGAGAATGATACAGGGGTTGGGACAGTGTACCCCCTTCATACTGACTCGTGTTTGGGCCGATTTAACCACGTTTTAGGGTGTGAACCAAAGTTGTATAACCTAATAATGATTCAAAATTTAAAAAAATTGTTTTCTTAGATTTGCAGCACTGGGGGAAGTTTGGGAGCCCCTTTCATCAAATGAAAAAATATGTCAAGAAGGGGGAGGAGGAAAATAGAAAGGGGATTGAACTCTTTTTATAATAGTATTGATAATTAAGTTTAGTTTCCTTATTGTAAGAGGAAAAACAACACTCTTTTAAGCTAATCTCGCTTAAGTGATCGTTACACTCCCTCACATTTATGTGAATAAAAGACCGTTACCCCCCCCCCCCCCCCCCACCACCACCCCCTCCCCTCCTCCTCTTTCCCTCCCCTTTAGCGACGGCCTTGTACCGACACAACATTAAACCATTACCTGATTATCTATTTGAGTAGTTTTTACTTTTTCATACGTCTATCTGTGTTTTGTGTTCCCAGGTGAAATAACATAGGAACATACACGTCAGTCTTCCCAAAGCAGACAGAAATAAGTTTTAGACACAACCAAAACCAGGACAAATCGATAAACTTTTAAATAAAACGAATACAACCGCAAGATACGGCGTTTGTCGGCTGCTTGCACGAATTCCGAACATGGTCGTTTCAGACGGCTTTTACATTAAAAACACGTCGATAACAAAATCGACAGTTCTCTGTTTTTTTAAACGGAAAGTGCAATTCCCTCGCGACGATTTCATCACAAGACATGTCATTTGGGTATAGATTCGACGCATCGGTGCAAAATAGATAGGATTCGGGTTGGGGCTGATGTGATTTCAATCGAACCAGTATCCTCTTATCTAAAACCTAATGGATATGGAACGGCGACCGGGATTTGTTGGCCCGTCGGAATGGGAGAAACATGGGAAATGGAGAAAGTGGATACCATAATGCATCCCACACACGCCTCCTAACAGAAGAAGAACTTGTTCAAAGATCGTTCCGGTAGTGACGACATTTAAACATTCTTAATAATGTGAATTGTTATGTATTGTTATAATTTTGCTGAGGAAACAACATTAACGAGGATCATTAATTATGCCAATCGACTTTCGAAATTACTGTAATTACCAAATTTACGAAATTACTGATAGCTTAGTGCGAACAATTAAAGTCCAATGCATTTTAAATCTCACCATTACGCGACCGACGCTAGCATGAATTATAAATTATGGGCCAACAGTTTTGCTTGGGGTCGTCCGACTTGAAAGCTTTTTTTACTGAGCGACCTCAGTGGTTTGCAAGGGGAATTTTCTGCTTTCAATACCGGATACAAAACTTATGAGTAGGCCTACGACAAGAATCACATATCTAGGATACAGTTTTCTCCATGGAGCCTGATCATGAAGTAGAGAAATAAAACAATGATATAGATGAGGGCCCGGGGGAGGGGGGGGGTACTCACATATTGGGGTGTGCCGCTCTAATGGGTCACTTTTCACAAAAAATCTCTATTCATGGGTCCCACTCATTTGTTACCAAAAATACCATTAAAAATGGGTCCGTTTTTTCAAAATTTCCTAAATTTGCAACAAAAAAATGGGTGTTTGCATGGAAAATACCCCCCAAAATGTGGGAAATGGGTGTTTTTTTTGTTGAGAAAAATGACCCCTAATAATGGGTAGGGGTTTCGAGGCTTGAGCGGCACACCCCTGTCCAAACCAAATCTGAGTATCCCCCCCCCCCCCCGGTATGAGGGCCACACAAAGTATCAGCGCAATTTAAGAGAAAGAAAGAGAGAAGAAAAAAACATACTCGTTGGATATTTCTGAACACTGTTAAACAGGGGGAGACCAGCAATATTGATTAAAAAAGAAGTGAAATTAATGATGAAACAATACAACAACATAACAAAACAAATGACACAAAAAACGATCCCCTCCAAAAATAAAATCAGGTTGTGGTCTTCATGAACGCAGCTGGCGCTAAAAGCAAACTTCATAACAAGAAGTGGGGTGATTATGTAATCTGCAAATGCCGAACTGAGGTTGTCGATCGCGAAAGTAAGATTATTTTGTATTTTTACACTGTATAATGGGATTTAAAGTTTTTTGTAAAGTGTTGTGATGATGAATAATGAGTGGTGTTATTTTGATACTGTGAACAACTTGAATTTTACCCGAGAAACGCGCTTACAAAATCAGGTCTTTTTTGTAGCAGTCCCGTACGTTAGGAAATTTGTCTTGTTTGCATAATCGTGTTGTGTGAATGATGATGAAACAGTATCTGACGGCGCTTCTCGCTATCTCGCTCACCGGAACTCTCCCACACATAGCTGCATTACTATCCTGGCTGTGTATTAAAAGCTGTGCTATTGATTCTCAACACTTCAAACACTACTGTATAAATCTGTGCTCAAATCAATTGTGTTTTTTTTAATCTCCATTTTTTATTGGAAACGCCCCAATTTAAAAAATGAAATGGAACCTCGTAGATCTATTACCAATCATGTGAAAGAGCATGTTTTGACTGATACATGATGATAAAAATGTTGCCGGGAAACCGACTACTAATTGATATATTTGGTAAATTAGTTTATCTATTGGTGTGTGAGGATAAAAACGCACGTGTCGCGCACGTGTGCGTAGTCCCATATACATTTTTCTGTGTACAGTGCTTGTAACTTTACATAGACTGGGCCAAATTTCTTATCATTTTGATGATTCCAGAACCTTGTAGTACACACCAATACTTATATGCTAGATGATCAACTTTTTCTGATCGATTCCACAGCGTTTCTTTCACAATGCAATCGCATGACCATAACTGGTCTTTACCTTAAAGGTTCAAGTAAAATAATTGCAGTAAACCTTGCACAAGAGTCGGACAAGTCAATCATAACTTGAATCACCTCTTTATAAGTCCATGGAAATGAAAGGCCCAAATTTTCTTCATATGCTATTGATGAACTTAGCCTTAATTGCCAACAATTTGCCTCCGTAAAGAGTGATGTGCACGTCTAAACAAACCCTCGGGTTCTACATTGCCTCTTCCAGATACCCCAAGTCCCATTTCAAATTATCCAAAGAACTCCACAATCTCGCAATTCAGAAACGATAAAAGGGTACAAAATTCAACAGCTACAGTACTTTGCTCTCTTTTTGGCATGGTGCTGTGCCTGTGGAGTATGATAAAAGTGTGAATAACATGATAATAGCTTTGACCTCTTACCTTTTGGTTTGAGAATAGGCTGTTGAATGGGTAGTGTTGTGATACGGTATGCTAAATTTTGGTGCGCTAATATCACGCCACTGGCACAGTGAACATGCGAGTGCTCATACATGAGGAGCTGATTAGAACACTCAAATATAGCATCTCCATACCTTTTTCTGAGCAGTGTGAGCTTCTAGTGGTCGACAAGCATTAGCAGTTTGAAAAGCTAGTAGTAATGTAGTAAGAAGGTCTTACCCACCCCCACCCCCCCCACCCACCTTCAACTCGCAGATTGAAAATTATACTATCATCTCTCTCTTTTTCTCTCTCAGATAATAACAGTAATCAATACATCACTGGCAGTCTGTGGGAGAGCAACTGAGAAGAAAACTTCACCCAAGTACAGGAAGCGGCAGTCATCATGCTTCGAGGAAGAAACTCCCTCATAATCGCAGGGTTTGTGGGATGTATAGGCATTGCGCTGTACCCCATTGTCATCTCTCCAATGATGAACTCATCATCGTGGAGTAAGTATACATTTTATTGGCTCTTATTTTTGTATGGAGTAGCCATTTACATCAATGCCCTTAATGGCTAATTTAAATAAATTTGAGGATTTTAAATATGGTATTACTGTTAGTGAAATATGGATATCAGAAAGTGAAAAGGAAACAAATAAGGAACCAGAATCAAGTTATACCTAATCACACTTGATTTTTTCATGATATAAAAGCCCCTCTACACTAATCATAGCTACTTGCGCCCTCTATACAGCCAATAATGGCTAAGCGGTACCCGTCGATCCCCCATGATGCCCTTTTTCTTATGTTTTAATTGAGAGCTGATTTGATGAGATAACCACCTGCCAGTGACCTAGCAGGTAGGTCTAATCCCTCCTGGCCAAACTAGTGCAGAGGGGCTTTAAGATTCTTTTGCTTTTACTTTAGAGCGCTGCTAGGTTTGTGTTCATGTAGACCATCTGAGTACTTGAATTGAATATTTTACTTTTCTTTTCTTAATTGCCAGGAAATGAATGAGACGTCTTTATGTATTATGTAGCTCAGGCAGAAATTAGTAATGTTTCAAAAAGGAAAATTTTGTTGAAAAGAAATTTTCGGCTTGCACCCAGTATATAAAGATCGCATTCTCTATCTTGTAATTGAAAACAAGTCACAACAAATCTTGAATCAAGCGGGATTTGAACCTCTCATCTACTGCTTGCCGGGCAGCGACTCTACCACCAGGCCATCACTGGTCAATGGTACAGTCATGATTAACCTTCAAAAAATACCTCAGCTCTTCTGACTCATTCTTACTTCTCAGTATTCTTGATCCGCCATTATGACAATAGGTTTGGAAAAGGAAACTTTTTGTCGTTGTTGTTGTTTGAATAGTCCAAAATTCAAATACTATCATGACTTTTATATCCTTAATGAGAAGGTTGAGTTCTGGTATACCTGAAAACTGATTTGTGAGCACCAGGAGGGTCAAATCTGACTGACATAAGCGCTATACGAGAACCCATTATTTATTATTATTATTATTTTAATGTTCATGTGAAAGAGTACAAAGGAAAAGAGTCCCCTCATGGCTCTTCAAATGTACTCATATTCAAAATATGACAAGTAAGCAGCTATAGGTTGGGGACCACACTTTCACGTTTGTTTAGTCTCATACCATACACATTTCTCTTTACAGTGCATGTGACATTTTTAGCAAGTTTGGGCCAATTTCTGATCATTTTGATGATTCAAAACCTCACAGTATTCACCAATACTATGTACTACAAGATCCATTTTTCCAATCGCTTCCACACAGTTTCTTTAACAATACAATTGCATGACTAGGGACCCGTTTCACAAAGCTTTTGTTCAGTGACAAATGACAAAAATTAGTGACAAGTCTGCTGATAACCAATCAGAAGCAAGGATTTCACTACCTTATAACAACAACTGTCATTTGCCGCTGATGACAAGTTTTGTGAAATGGGGCCCAGAACTCAACTTATCTCTTTCAAGAGAAGTAATGTGCAGGCCTTAAATTGCAACATTTTTAGGGCAAGGCCACTTTTCTGTAGGGCACATTCCTATATTACAGCACTAATGGGAAGAATTGGAAAGGGCACAAAAAATCTCCAAGGCCAATGAGAGGGGCATTGAGGCCAATCAAAGGGGCATCCAAGGCCATGGCCTTGGTGGCCTTGGATTAATTTAAGGCCTGAATGTGTATATCAAGCCATATATGAAGTGCACTGAACCGTATCATTGTTCCTCCCATTTTTTATTACAGAGCAAGTACAAAGAGAAACAAGAAAGGGTGTGAATCAGAAAGATGTTCAACCTGGAGGTTAGTTTAACGGTTCTATTTCGTAGTAGATATTCCTTGCTTTTTATTTGAGGTTTCACATTTTGCTTTCCATGCTCTTATGACTTACATCTCATTTTCATTGCACTTTCATGACCTCCTTTACCCTCTGCACCTTCACACACCACCCTCATTGTCATTGCAAAGACTAGTTCATTCCATCCCATTTCCATTCCCTGTCGACTCACATCATGGTTCTATCGTTTAGTTCTCATTGGTATCTCATGATCACCCTTCCATACTGTCTATTGGTTCTTCCTTCTCCCCGGGTTCTTCCTTCATGTTGTACTATTCCATTGTTGTAATGTTTTGGATTGGTTCTTTATTTATGATGTCACCTGTGGTCTGATCTATTAAAGGAAAATGAAACCTAACAAAAAAAAAGTTGACAGCCTTATTACAAATTGTAAGCCTGTGAAAAGCATCTTGATATTACTCCTATTTAATTACTTAGCAAGAAAAACAATCTCTTTAAAGTGTGCAATTTCCTTGCTAGCCATTCTCCAACAGAGGTCGGCATTTTGATGAAAATAGTAATGTCAGAGTAGTACAACTTTTGAGATATACCCACTGACCCATATACCCATATTACTCTGTAGGGCACTCACCTGTGAAATGCATAAACTATTTTTTTATGGTAAACCTTTTTTTTAATGCATTCAAAGGAATGGATGTTCTCTCATTACACTCAAATCGCCTGTTTCAAACAGTTTAATTCACCTGTTTAATTCACCTTTCGTAACCAAATTTGTACTTAAATGCCTTGATTTCAATCATTTAATTCACCTGTTACAAAAAATTGTATTTCAAAAGTCAGAATGCAAATTGAATATTTTTTGTGTGATGTTACGTAAGACAAGTCATGATGTTTGTACTACCTGGCAACCACTATTGAACATGCAGTTTGAATTCTGACTACCAGTATTTAGATTTGTTTACTTAAAAGGTGAATGAAATAATAATCGTATCAACGCGCTTCACAAAACCTTATGTACTATAAATTCAGTTCCATTATGAAAATGGCCTGGTAGTACGTAGACTCTTATTGGATAACTTGTTAAGAAGCACAAGACTAATCTGCCACAACGTCCAAATGACACTCATAGATAAATAGAGGCAGAAAGTGAGATAGGAATAAAGATAGATAGATAGAGAGAGAGAGAGAGAGAGAGGGATAGAGAGAGGGGGAGAGAGAGAGAGAGAGAGGGCGAAGGGGGGAGGGGGATAGAAAATTGATAAATAGCAAAAAGTTTATTATATAAAGCTGCTATATCTTCAAGATAAGCATGTGTTAGTTTCCATAATACATGCATTACCATTCTCCTAAAACATGAGCCTCAGGAGAGGCTTACAATACATGTAGGTTGATCCTTTTAATAGGAAATCACATTTTGAGGGCCCTGGTTTTGCGTTCAGGGGAGGGGGTCACCCCACTTACAAATGATTTTTTTGTCATCATTTATATGTATTTACAAATGATTCCCTTACTTACATGTAATTGCCAAATACAACTCTTTTTTTTTTTTTTTTTGGGGGGGGGGGGGGGTCAGATATCAGCCATAAGGGACTAATCACCCCCCCCCCCTCCTCCATTGCTCCATCTTCAAATATGGCAATACCATTTTTCAACTAGGAGAAAACTTGATTCACTGCATACAATAATGGGTACATGGAGCTCTAAAATTATCTACATTATGAAGTCCATACATACCAGCTCATCAGTTTTGGTAATTGTCAGTTATCAATCAGCAACTCAAGTCCCTGCATACAATGCACACTTTCTAGTCAAATGAAATGATGCCTTTCTTGGCACTTTTGCAAATGTCCTCTAATCAACCAGAGTCCTTTTTTTTCAGAAGGTGGACTTAACTCAGGACTCAGTGGCGATTTTATCAGGAAAAAAATATTTTTTGTCACATTTTTGTTCTCTCCACATCCTATTTCCAACATTCTATTAACATCTTGCACTGGTAAATTTTGAAAGGTTATGTTAATACATATTTCAGAAGACAATGACTCGGATGAAATTTTAAAAAGCAATCCATACATACATACATGTATTAAAGTGTATTTAATCTCATTTCTTATTTGTTTGTTTTAGCTATAAACCAGTACACATGCTAAAAAAGTATGATTAAAAACACTAGAGGCAGAGAGAGAGAAAGAGAGAGAGAGAGAGATAGAGATAGAGGGGGAGTAGAAGAAGGGAAGAAAGAGACAGAAAGTTAAAGAAAATGTACATTTTACGAGAGTAAAAAGCAAAAACAACAAGCACAGCATTAGAAAAGAGGTCAATCAGAAAATGGGGACGCAGAGAATCCCCAAAACTATGTCAGACTGATCGAAAGAACAGAAGAAAAAAACAGTAAGAGGCGGGGATTTGGGATAGATACTTCACAGCAGAGAAAAAGGGAAAATACTTAAAATGCAGGTCACACATGAAAATGTTCTTGAAGAAGAAAAACAGCCCTTAGGAACTTACAAAATGGACTTGCAAAGATGTCTTTAGGGGTAGGAATGCATTTAGGTAGTGATGCCTCTTAAGATTGCTCAGGGGAGCTGAATAACGAAGGAATTTAAAGTTACTTCAACCCTATTTTCGGTTGAAGTGGAAGGGGTCGGTTGTGGAAAAGTATTTGTGGCTGCCTTGCGACTGCCATTGATTGTAGAACCTATTTTCAAGACAACTTTCTTTTCTTTCTGTGACAATTTTGCGCATCTTTTTTTAACCAAAGTATGTTAAAATATGATCAAGAGTTCTTAGACCATGGTATACTTTCTATCATATTACACCAAAAGAAAGAAAACTTATTTGTACAGATGAATAACAAAACAAGGGCAAATTATGTGTTTTTCGTTAAATTTTGTACTGGAAAACACATGTTGTATACATTGGACAGTATACATAACAAGTACTGGGTATCTTGAAATCAATAAAGAACTAAATGTTCATACTGAAACAGAAGAAGTTTTGTTTAAACAAATATGTAAATTACAACGATCGAAGTAGTTAGACACTAATGTCTGATCAGTGTATTAAAGGAAACCTCACCCCAAAGAATAATAGTTATTATTAGATATTCTGAAAAATGATATCTATTCTTGCCCTTTCATGTAATACATTCCTTATAAAAGTGTACAAGAGATGTTTAATGAAGATATTCTTGGCATGATGTAATGCCTTTTGGCATGACACATGCACAAGCATCCACAAATTTGAATATATTTCCTTGATTAATTGACTTCGCATAGTACCTCACATTGTCAAGAAAATGGCAATGCCCATGTCGTGCTGAAGAACTGTACACTATTCTTGCTTTATGCCTCTCTCAGCCCGTCTCTTATCCACTTTGGTAGGGAATCATGTAGATTAATGGGCAAGAATGAAATAAATCTATCAGAATAACCTAACTTATTTCTTGGGGTGAGGTTTCCTTTAAAAATATCATATTCATGTTATTCTAAAGAAAGGCTTTTAGTAGACATTGTCTAAATTTGCTGTTTTGGTAAAGCTAAAACCATTGAGATGTTCCTTTTGTTGAATACTAAACTGATGCTGTAGCGTGGGTTTGTAGGAAAAGTTGAACTTTTTATAAAACTTCTTTCCGCTAACTTTATTTGGCATCTACATGTACATGTACATGTATGTGAAACATACATTTCACTTCACAAGTCCACTTTAGATTATGACGTCTGCTGTTTTTTTTAACGATCATGACATGATGTAGGGCGTCTGGCAAAGTCGGCCTTTTCGGTGACTGTTGTCTCCTCTTCTAAGGTAGCTCGACCAAAACATTTCAGCCCCTTGTGGGCTCGGACTATCTCTCATGCAACACTTTATCACCTCTTGCAAGTCACATTAGTTTGTAGTTCTTTTTTTCTAGTTGCTTTTTAAAGGTTCCATGTATTAAATTCATTTTGAGCCATGATGCAGAATTGAATGATTCCAGCCCTCATCAATGGTAACAATACAAAACAATCAACAAACTAACCAAACAACGAACAAACTTTTGCTATCATTGTTTTTGCTTTTTAAATCTGCTCCTAAAAGTGACAGCATTTGATGCTATGTTACCTGTCAAAATTTGCAGCTGGGTTTGAAAAAATTGTTATTATGAGATATTAGTAGTTGGAAAGAAAAAAATTGAAGGGTGTAATTATCATAGTCACATGACCAATTCAACAGTGTAGTCCATCCACCGGTAGTCATCTCAACTTTGGAACAATCTATTTGCATTAATTCTCAAAGTTTTACAAAGTAGTTGTCTTATTTTTGTCGGCTTTTACCCAAAGCGGTATCAGTATTCACCTCTAACTTGAGTTGCATTGGAAATTCCCTAATCATCCACTTCAGAGTTTTACCAAATATACAGTTGTCTTATTCTTGTCTGCTTTTACCTAATCGGTATCAGTATTCACCTCTAACATGAGTTTGCATTGGGAATTCCCTAATCATCAACTTTAGACAGCAGCCTCTGTAGGCTCTTGACTCTTTGCTTACTTCATGGAGGGCCAACCCGGCCAAGAGATTATTGTAAAAGGTTACTTCTCCCTCTCTTCTTCCTTTTAAAAGGAGAATGTATAACCTTAGTGACCTTCTTGTATGAAGTAGGCACCTGTGTCTGCTTTACATGTGCTTCCATTATTAGGGAATTCCCTAATCGTCCGCTTTAAGCTACAGTCCCATATACGTCCCGGACCGTCCCGGACCATCCCGGACCCCATCCGGGGTGATCCGGGATTCGGTCCGTGTTGACACCGTGTTGGCACCGGGGTGGTCCTGGATGGTCCTGGATGGTCCTGGATGGTCCTGGATGGTCCTGGGCGGTCCGGGAGTCGACCCCGGATGTTTTTGACGGTCAAAAACTGCCGGGGTGGTCCGGGACGGTCCGGGACAATAGTTTGATCCGGGGTGATCCGTGTAGCCACCGTGCTGGGTCCGGGGTCATCCGTAGTGGCGCCGGGGCGGTCCGTGTTGATCC